CGTCACCAAATTACGGTCATGATGGTAAACAAACTGCCTATAGGCAACCTAATCTTATAAATGTACAACTAGATTAGTACAGCTTTAATTACAGTTTTGTACAAATGAACGCCAATGATTCTTTCAGACTTTTTTTTTAATCCGGGGGGGGGGGGGAAGGAGACGACGTCACTAATAAAGTATATATTTTCTTCATAAATTATATTTCTTTCGGGGGGAGGGGGGGGGGGTACATGAGCATCGGCAAGGGATGGGAAGAGATGTCTGAATGAAACACCGATGAACGCGGATCACCAGCATAGCGACATATTGAAACTGCACACACAACTAATAATCGTTGCCATAGTAATAAACTACAAGCCATGCATGCAGAAGAAAAAAACGTAAATGTGGTACAAAAAAAAAATTAAAATGTGAAGTGCTCATCGAACGTGAATGTAAATCTGGTGGATCATACGGAAAATGAAGTGGGGAGGGTCATAAGGAAAATGAAGTGGGGTGGGTCATACGGAAAATGAAGTGGGGTGGGTCATACGGAAAATGAAGTTGGGTGGGTCATACGGAAAATGAAGTGGGGTGGGTCATACGGAAAATGAAGTGGGGTGGGTCATACGGAAAATGAAGTTGGGTGGGTCATACGGAAAATGAAGTGGGGTGGGTCATACGGAAAATGAAGTGGGGTGGGTCATACGGAAAATGAAGTTGGGTGGGTCATACGGAAAATGAAGTGGGGTGGGTCATACGGAAAATGAAGTGGGGTGGGTCATACGGAAAATGAAGTGGGGTGGGTCATACGGAAAATGAAGTGGGGTGGGTCATACGGAAAATGACGTGGAGTGGATTATACGCAAAATGAAGTGGGGTGGGTCATACGGAAAATGAAGTGGGGTGGGTCATACGGAAAATGAAGTGGGGTGAATCATACGGAAAATGAAGTGGGGTGGGTCATACGGAAAATGAAGTGGGGTGGGTCATACGGAAAATGAAGTGGGGTGAATCATACGGAAAATGAAGTGGGGTGGGTCATACGGAAAATGAAGTGGGGTGGGTCATACGGAAAATGAAGTGGGGTGGGTCATACGGAAAATGAAGTGGGGTGGGTCATACGGAAAATGAAGTGGGGTGGGTCATACGGAAAATGAAGTGGAGTGGATCATACGGAAAATGGAGTGGGGTGGGTCATACGGAAAATGAAGTGGAGTGGATTATACGGAAAATGAAGTGGAGTGTATCTATTTTTTTAGCCCCATAATAGCAAGCCTTGTCTTCTTCTTCTTCTTCGTTCTTAATTATTAGTGTTGAAGGGGATCGAGATTTATCTGCCAGAGGGTTTGAACTCGAGACTTTGTTCGAATTTATCAACCATGAGATTTTTGCCGACTCGACCACCTCTCCAACACAATTAAGCGTTACGTATCAACTGGTTATGCGCCATTGAGGCCACCGACTCCGATTTCAGCCTGCTTTTCTTTTTGGATTTGCTTCCATAGCCTTTGTCCAACCAAGAACAAACTACAAGGCAGCAGTTGTTTAATTTTGGAGATGTCTCTCCTAGAAGAGTGGCTGTCCCCAGCTAACGAGCCTCATCTGCCCGAGGGTTCGAACTCGAGACTTTTCGGTTTAGCAACCATGAGCTTTACCGACTTGACCATGCCGACCCGCAAACCTTGTGATTTAGCACTTTGCCAAGCTGGCTTTACACATCTCCCCCCCCCTCCTCCCCCAACTCATCAAGACAGGGACTCATTAGGGCTGGGTTAACTCTAGAAAGGGAGACCGACCTGAGCACATCTTCTGTAAGCTCAAGCAGAGTTTCTTCCAGGCATCTTTTCGGGGGATTCTCCGCCCCCCCCCCCCCACCCCCGAAGAAAGTCTACCGCCACCCCACCCCTACATGAAATAGAATTTATATAGAAAATATATACTTTTAAAAGTGTCCGCCTCCCTCCCCCCCCCCCCCCCCCCCCCCGAAAATTACAAGAGCCCCCCCCCCCTCCCCCCGGAGAAAAAAAGTCTGGAAGAAACACTGCATACATAAATTTACATATATAAATAAACATATTCGTATATACATACATGCATGCATGTATACAGACAGACAAAAAGACAGAAAGACAATCAGACAGACACACAGACAGACAGACAGAGTGGCAGGCAGGCCGACACACAGATAGACAGGCGGACAATATTGCAAAACTAAGTTTTTCTGACTCAAAGATGAGTTATGTTCAAATCTCGACTTGGATTTTTATTTGCAATACTACACCACTCTCACTATATTCCGTATTCGAGAAAGAAAAAATGAAATGCTTCAGTTCAGCACTCTGATGAAATCAATTCCTGGGTAGTACGGAGGTATGCGGCGAATATATTTCAAAACCTGTTACACAACTGAATCAATAAAGTGTAGTATGTATTGAGTTCACTTTGATGATACAATCTAAGCATACGTGTATGAGGTTGATATTTTCAAGTCTGCTGATTTTATCGAAGGTAGAGTGAAATACAACACGGCTTTAAAGCAAAGAAAATGTCAAGGAGATTCGGAAGGTATAAATACTGGGTAAACTTTGAAGATCGATTACTTAATTCTAAATTGAATAGTAAATGTTGAGTCTCTACGGCAGGTCATACTAAAATCATGATTGCGCCATTTTGAACTATTTTTATGCTTTTCGTCGCCTCACTTCAATCGCAAAGAAAGGTGGTGGTTTAGGGGGTGGGGAGGGGGGGAGGGGGAGGAGGAAGTCGGGGCAGGGGTACTTGGACTGGGGGTCTAACTGGAGAAATCCAGGTGGGCTCCCAGGTAAAAAATTCCAGAGGTTTCCCACGAACGGTGCTGTATTATACATATTAGTGCTTTATTTATTAAAAAAAAAAAAACTTGCGTGAATTTCCATCAAGCTGAGGATGGTCGTCCTATGATGAGGAAAGAATGCACAGTGACAATTTTAATCTGGGGGTGGTGGACCCTATTGAATTGTCCCGGGACTCTTGGACACAACTCGTCCACACCTGTCGGTAAATAATGGAAAAAAAATGTTTGTTTGGTAACTGAAGAGGGAAACAAAGCAAAAGACCACCTACGCATTATGTGTTGCATAAGACTGGATTTGATGCTGTTTCGGTATAGCGGGGGTGTTTTTTAGATTTACTTAGTTGTTTGCTGCTTGCTAGTCCAAATAAACAACTCCCATTCTCTCCCCTCCTGGACTTGGTGAGCTAGTCTAAAAGATGATTCCTGAAAATGGCGCTGAGATGGCACTGGGAAGTGATTGAGGGGTCATCCATAATTGACGTCACGCTTTTTTGACGATTTTTACCTCCTCCCCTCCCTTCCGTCACACGTCGTCACAAAAAGCCAGACCCCCCCCCCTAAATGACGTCACGCTTTTTTGACGATTTTTACCTCCCCCCCTCCCCTCTGTCACACGTCGTCACAAAAAGCCAGACCCCCCCCCCCCCTAAAATGACGTCACGCTTTTTTGACGATTTTTACCTCCCCCCCCTCCCCTCCGTCACACGTCGTCACAAAAAGCCAGACCCCCCCCCCCTAAAATGACGTCACACCTCAACCTACAACCCCCCTCAAAATTGCAGTTGAATTTTTTCAAAACATCGATATTTTTCTAAAATCTTGTCTATACTTATAAACTATTACAATTTATTTAAACAGTTATCTAAAACGCGAAATAACGTCTAAAATTCGTTTTCTAACATTGCTTTTTTATAATGCAAAAATGTGACGTCGCACCATCTGAACCCCCTCCCCGCTCCCCATCATCACACATCGTTACAAAATTACGGACCCCCCTCCCCCCTACGAGTGTGACGTCATTTATGGATGACCCCTGAAGTGAAAGATAAGAAAGACGATTAGGAATTTGGGGGAGGGGGAGTGTTGGCCAAAGACAAAACCTGACATGAACAGTTGACTTGCCCAGAACAGGGAGCAGTTTCTTGCATACGGAATAAATTAATTTCAGACTAAATTAACAATAGGGTTTTATTCCGACTTTTCCCTAGTAGGTGGGGTAGGGACGACGACTTTAAACTTACGGGATGCACAAATAACGGTTCAAATAGGCTTATATTTTCTATTTAAATTTAATATATTCCTGAAAGAAATACTGCTTTAAATGTTTTGGTGAAACATGACAATATTTTATTTATACGGTCAATACTGTTGAATTACTGCCCAATCTTCTGATTCAATAAATCCAGTGCATCCAGAATGCCGAGGCGTAGCGACCTAATCCGGCGCGGACTATCGATTTTGCGCCTCCCCCTATTTCTATATAAAGTTATTCTTGTCTGTGAAAAAGCGCTCCTCCACTCAGTTGAAAAGGTTTGTTGCGCTTCTTACCAGTTAATATTCTGAAACAATTTCTATTTCGGTGTCACAAAGTTGTTAAATCAGTGTGTGAAGCCTTGTAGTCGTTTATTTTTCGTAGCTTTGACAGTGTATAATTCGATACTTCAGGTTAAAATGGAGCTTTCAAATGAATTTCTCTACCCCTTTTGGCGTCCCCTTAAGGTCGGCGCCCGCGGCTGCCCCCCCCCCCCAGCTACGCCTATGCCAGAATGTGTCATTTAGTGTATTAATAAATAGAACCTCAAGTTAATTAGTTTACACACTGAGTCTCCGTGTTCATTACAAATTAAGTAGGTCTATGCCTATCATCGCAAATTTACATAAATAATTAAATGAGATTCCAAATATATCTTGAATTTGGCATGCTGTTCTTCTGCCAAAAAGTGAAACCAAAAAAAAATATATGTAAGAATCCACTTGATTTCAGGAATAAAAAGCAAGACTTCAGGAAATGTTCAATATTGACGTAAACTGTTGAAAAAACTTTTTTTTTTGTAAAATGAGTAAGTTTCTATAAATTAGTACTTTGCTACAACACATTCTTTCAAATGTATAACTGGAGAAAAGATCACAAAATAAATTCTAGTAGCCCAAACATCTGTTCATTCATGTTTTTATTTGCATGTCCAAAAACTCACAAGTTAAGAAGTATATCATCAATGTGTATGGTCATATAACCAGTATTTATAAAAAAAAAGTTTATCGTTGAATATAATGATTTAAAAAGATGAATTAGAATGAGGAAGTGGTAGTACAGGTGTTTTAGCATCAATATGAATTTACATACTTTAAGGTTATATTTAGTTCAAGAAAAATCTGTGAAATCCAATATTCAATATACCACACTTACGTATAGTAGCCTATATAGGCCACTATAGATTTTATTCCCAATAAGAATATGTTAAGCTTAAGGGTATTTACGTCTTTATTTAATAATAAAAGGAAAAAGTAATACAAGTGTGTATTCTCCTTAAAAGAATTTTTCATTTATCATAATTAATGCCTTATGTGGGCTGATTAAAAGGGTCTTTAATCCTAAACATTTAAAATTGATAGCAGCTAACTTACAAAGTAACGCACAAATTATAAAAGTGGAAAAAAATGTAATTTTGAAATTTTGTGTATTAAAAAGATTAAATTCTGTTTGGGCTCACTTTTATTAAAACACCTTTTCAATTGTAATCAATTGAGAAAAAACAAAGGGGCTTCATTTGTAAATACATATTTTCTCTGTTTTAAAATCAAATTACAATAATTTTCCACTAAAGAGGAGCTATATGAGAAGACGAATAAAAACACTTTTAGCACTACAATATTAACAAACACATAATTTCATAGGCTACATATGATGCAAAGGAAATAGCTTTAACATGAAATCCATACATTATATAATATGAGTTATTATCACATAGGATATAAATATTTCACTGCACACATCTAAACCATCCAAGACACAGTCTATGAAGTTGAAAATAAAACCACTAAAAAGTGGTTTGAAGTTTTATGAAATGAAAAAAATACTTGTTTAATTTGTCAAACTAACCATAAAATAAATTAAGAAATTGGCAACGACAAAATTAAAAAAAAAACAACATTTTAAGAGTTTTATAAATATGAATGGATACACAAATATTATCACACACATTTAAAACTTCTTACAATTTTTTTAATGCGAGAAAATAGTTTGTGATGGAATGACACTGTGGAAACAGAACCTATAGTGGAACAGCTACAGACAGAATACAATAGAAAGATATGCTGGCATTTAACAGGACCATTTCTGACTCGCAGTGCGAAATATACTGATGATAAATTGCCTCAAACTATAACAAATAAAGTGTTAAAGAAATAGTGAACTATAATTTACAAATGAGGGTTTGGTTTAAATGAAATAATTTTCAGCTCTGTATTTTGGTCTGCCTAGTCAGTGAGTAACTGGCAACCTCCCAATCACAGCTTGTAATCTATTTATAGAACCACATAATATTTAGTTGATTTTAGACAAGGGTTACAGAAAAAATGAAACTTATGAATACAATGAGATTTTTAAATATATTATTAAAATATGGATATATCGTTGTAAAGGTCTGCTCACAACAATCAGCACAATGTTTACACCCGCACAAAAAAACAAAACTTAACATCATAACACATTAATTTTTTTCTCCAAAAATAAAATGTATTAGAAATAAATTAGAATTTAAAAATCTCTAATATAATGATAATAGATTGTAGTTATATCAGAACTGTAATAATTTCATATATAGATCTAACTACAAATTGCAAGAGCACATGTTTCAGATTTCGTTTTAAAAAAAACAACATAAATTGACACAAGTTGATTATCCAGGCAAAAGAAGTTTGACCTCACACACTGGAAACGAAAATTACCTTAGTATTTAACACTCAGTCATTTTCTTTCAGTATGGTTTGTATTGTTGACAAATTCACTAAAAATGGGGCATAACTTAATGTTTTCACTACCATAACACTAAACAGCTAAGTTTTTTCTTTTAATAACAAGTCAGTTTAAGCACTAACTACTATGCATTGTTAAAAGATATTTTAATCTTATTTCCAAAACTGGGTTACATGGCTTATTTAAAAAAATTCAATTTACAAAATGTGAATTTTTGTTTTTGAAAAACTTGAATGCTGTTAAAAAAAAATAAATACAATAAGAATAGAATAGGTAGGTCCAACAATTAATTTTAACTAGTTTCTGTCCTATTTAAGGAGCTTCAAAACAAGTTTCTCTCTCCAATTTTTTTATTGAAATAGATCTAGATCTAAATGCAAAAATTTTTTTTTTTAATTTTAGTTACTCTTTGTAGATCAGAATGTAAGTGGAGGATAGGGTTGTTCAGCACACTTACAGTATAGTCAGTGCAGATCTTGTCTACATGAGGATCTTGTGTAATTATTATTTTTCAGGTTTAAATATTTTTTTTTCTGTGATAATTCATAACTTTCCCTTGATTAGAAAAAATCATGCTGTAGGTCTACATTACAAAAAAAAATTAATAAAATTTTTAATTGTTTGCTTATCAATAAAACAAGTATTAGGATCATTAATTAAATTTTGTTTTGTTCTGGTAGATGGAACGCTTAACTTTTCTCTACAAAAAATGAACATAATAGTCAAAATAAATTACAGTTAAGGAAAGTACAAAGTACTGAACATATTTTTCTTGCTAAAAATAAAAAAAAATATTTGTATTTGGTTTGTTAGCCTACATAAGAAAACACAAAGAATTGTATCATGGATAACAGATGGCTGAATCACTACACAACTTTCCAATGATGTCATAATATAAGTACACTAAATCATTTAGCAAATGACTAGGTGTATAAAAGTTAAATTAACTGGATTCAATTGATATAAAATTTGATAGTAGTCAAAATCTGTATGTATTTACAAGCGTGTATAACTAATTGAAATATCACGTAACAGGACTAGTACTTTCCACACCCATATACTTTTTACCATCGTACTGTCTCACACGACTGGAAATGTTAGGCGAGTTTTCACTGTTGGCGTCGGACCCGCTTTCTCTCCCTACAGCGGACGTGTAGCTAGGCGTGCGTCGCAGCGCATTTCCTGGCGATGACCCAACAGCGGGGGAACGTCTTGCCAGAGCGCTGATGCTACGCACGCTGCCGACGTCACTGTTAAAGTCATCAAAACCCAAGTACGTCTCACCCCCATAACTGCTGCTCCCCCCACCAGCCGCATCGTTACTGACGCTTTCACTGAGCAGTGGGGATTCCCCGTGGGGTGGGGGAGGTAGGTAAGGGTCACAAAAATGATCCGACACGGGTGATGTACGTTGTTTGTCAAAATGATCCACCAGTTGCTCAAATCTCTCCACGAAACTCCCAGCGTCTTGAAGTTCAAGGCTTCGAATAAAAGCCAGTTCGGCCGGGTCCATAGGACTGCTGTTGAAGAAGGAAAATTTTGGCGCATGTTCTGAGGTTTTTTGTTTTTTTGTAGGCTCCCTGATTGCAACCGTTTGTTGCATTCCATTGGCTTTGATGGGTTGGTGTTCTCTGTCGTCTAATTGTTGCTCATTTTCAATTGTGGTAGTGGGCATGATCATAAGGAGATCACTTCCAAAATCACTAGATTAAAAAAAAAATTGAAAAATATAAACTATGAGAAAAACCAAATTAATTGACTGATTTGTGCTTTATAATGATTAAATTGTTTTTCTTTAGAGTTAGTCACTAATTCAGTATCTTAAAGAAAAACATGTGTTGATGGGGTTAAAATTTTAAGATAATTATTCTTGACAAATAATAATTTAAAAAATTACTAAAAGTGAATTAGAAAAAGAATGCAGATCAAATCAACAGGTCACCGTTCAATAATTGAGAAGTTACTGTCACAATTTCTTACTGACACAATTTCTTATTATAGCGATGTTAGTTCAGTAGTTACCATTTTACAAACTATTTTTAAAAAATTTATAGCCTTAAATAAAAATTTAGATTTACTTAAATTTTTTCTAATAAAAAAAGAGTGTAAATCACATTAAAAGTTAGTAGTGTAATTAAATGATTATATTATCAAAAGAGTTCTTTACCCTAATTGGTTCTGAAGGTGGTCAATCTTGAGCAGTGCCATGTCCAGTTGATGTCTAAGTTTCCAGATCTGAACCTCACACAAGGCATCCTTACAGCGAGTTTTGGAGTAGGCATTCATGGCTTCATCCACATAATCTTTCAGTTGGAGAGATTTACCCATGCTCTGTGAGAGAAAAAAAAAACTGCAAATGAAAAATTTGAAATGGAAACCTTTTAAGTAGTAGTTCTACACAATTTTGTTTTCTAAGCCATTGTTCCAAGATGTAACTGGAAGTAAGTTTTATTCCATAAAGGCTAGTAACTCAGCTTCATTAAACATTGCTATTTGATTTATGTCAAGTAAACTGTTTAAAATATAATAGGGAATATAACCAATATTAAAAATATAAGTACAGTTGTAAGTAAAAGTTATAGTACAGCATTTCCTATATAAAGCAATAGAGCTGGATTGTTTATATTATTGATGTCACTAAAATTAGTTTTGAGAACTAAATCAAGGAAAAAAAAATACGGATTTATTTCTAAAGAAATTATTTTAATTGTATAAATTATGACAGATAGTTTTTTACAGAAAATATTACCAGAGAGACAGATAGTTTTTACAGAGATTATTACCAGAGAGACTAAAGCACAGCAACCACACTTGTCCCATTTTCTTAGGTGTTTGCGACAAAATTTGAAATAGAAATGTTCAAATATTAAAATAAGCAGCCCCAGCAAAATTCCGGAGCCGAGTAATATAAATGCGGATGTGAAGTTGAGAATTCCAAGTGTTCTGTTAGACACGCCTTTTTCTTTCTTGGTGTCACATGCCCCGGCCAACCAGAACTTTTGGAGACGATCCATTTCACCTGCACAAAATAGATTAAAACAGTCTTAGCAAAGCATAAAATATAATAATTGTAAGAAAGGTAGGAGGTTGGTGTGGTCAGGTCGGTTAAGCTTATGGTTGCTGAACTGAAAAGTCATGAGTTTGAGCCCACTGGCAGATGAGGCTTGACAGTTGTGGAAAGACAACTCCAAAATCAAACAACTGCTGCCTTGTAGCTTGTTCTTAGTTGGACAAAGGCTTTAGAAGCAAATCCAAAAAGAAAAGCAGGCTGAAATAGGAGTCAGTATCCTTATATGGTGCATTACAAGTTGACATGTAATACTTAATTGTGTTGGAGGGAATCTCTTACAACACTAGAATTAAGGACAAAGGAAAGAAAAAAGTAAGAATGGTACCAGCTAATACCAGATGTTTCTTTTAAGCAGATGAAGTTGACTATTTCATCTTTATACCAGATGTTTCATTTAAGCAGATGAAGTTGACTATTTCATCTTTATACCAGATGTTTCATATAAGCAGATGAAGTTGACTATTTCATCTTTATACCAGATGTTTCATTTAAGCAGATGAAGTTGACTATTTCATCTTTATACCAGATGTTTTATTTAAGCAGACGAAGTTGACTATTTCATCTTTATACCAGATGTTTCATTTAAGCCGATGAAGTTGACTATTTCATCTTTAAAAAAAATGCCTATGGGTTGTGCCATGATACTAATTTTTTAATATTATATTAAAGCTCTATTAAGTGGGTGATATAATTAGAGCTGTAGGATACAAATTATCATTTTTATTTATTTGTAAAATTGATAGTGGTTCTTATAGTTATAGTAATCCTAAGGTTATAATAATAATAAAAAATTATCAATACTACAATTAAGACACTGAAACCCTACAACTTTTTTGTCCTACTTTTTTAAACTGACTGAGTTCTATTTGAGTCAAGTTTTTTGTGTCCAGCAAGCTTTGCATCAAATTAAATTTATGTATCAAATAAACTTACGTATCAAATAAATTTATGTATCAAATAAACTTATGTATAAAATTAAACTTACCATTCTCTTGGAGTTTGAGGATCACTTTATTGAATTTGTCAATCCACGGATTTTTAAAATCTGGGGGAAAACCAACGCCATAGCCAGTCATAGCATAGCGGTTGCCCACAGTCAACAAGCGACACTTCTCATCCCTTGACGCCCAATACTCCAGCACAGAGGAGTCATAGATGAATGCCTGAATTTTTCTGGAAGCAAAGCATCAGATTATGTTGAGTTAAAGTGTTTAACAACAGCAAAAATAGTTACATCGTATATATATATATATCTATAAATAAATATACATAGAAAAAATATATACTTTATGTAGTGTCTGCACCCACCCCCTAGAAGTTTAAGTGCCCCCCCCACCCCTTCCCAAGAAAAATGTCTAAAAGAAACACTGTGTGTGCTGATTGTTCATACCAAGTGCCCCCCTCTAAGTGATTCACACTCCATGTCTAACATAGCACCCCTGGAAGTCACATGACCTATGGGTTCATCTTTGCCATTCTCACACAATTTCTCTGTCTACATAGGCATTATTAAATTTGAATCACAGCATACTAAAAAAAATCCCATCCATAACTTGTAGCATACCAGTTGTTTAGGACTGAAACCTATATGAGACTTACTGTTATAAGCTCTACCGCTTGACTCCACCAACCAATAAAGTACTGTAGCATACAAGAACATAGTGCTTGCTGGCTTACCCTTGCTTAAGTGCTGTGATCCCTGCTTTAATGTCAGGCAGGTTGTAGGTTTTCATGTAGTTGTACATGTCTATGTGATTGGATCGAATGTTGGCCTCAGTGCTGCCATTGGGAATGGTGGCGTACTTGAATGGTGGGTTCATGGTGTACGGATTTTGAAGCTGGTAAAAAGAAATGAATAACAAAAGCTGGGTTTTACAAGAGAATTGAGGGGGGGGGGGGGGAGACGGGGACGACAAGGGATAATTGTGAATAGTTTTTCAGATTTATTTACATCCTTTACAGTCAAGTATTCTGTTACATTTTGTCCACTTTTTAAATAACAGTGGCTATGTCTTGGATTACAGAAAACAGTTTTAATCATGAATAGTTTAAAACACCTTGAAAAGTCAAGATAGAATTACCTTTAATAAATTATACATATATATATATATATATATATATATATATATATATATATATATATATATATATACACACATATACATATCATCAACTACTCTTTCAAAATTAAAAATTCCTTTAATTAGACCATAAACTTATATCTGGTTTTAAACGGTTTACTTACTCTATAATCCTGTATGCCAGATAAATCATAAAATTCCTCTTTTGTTATCATGAATGCTGCCAGGTTAGCTGTGTATGATGCCAGGAATACAAGAGCAAACAAGGCCCATATGTTAGCCAAGAATCTGCTGGCAATTCCCTTGGGACTGTCTGTTTGTACGGACGTGCTAAACAGCATGGCCCAGATGAGCCAGAAGGACCGGAACAATGAGAACTTGTGCTCTGCTCACAAACAACACATCAATATCAAATGTTTGATGACCACTTTTTCCAAGTGTTCATTCAAAATTTTAACAAAAAATATATTTAAAAAAGGGTATTAGTAAAATACATGTTAATTTTCACAGCGAACCAAATTTTAAAATTTTCAGACTTTACAAGCAGTTAATAATGAAGTTTTAAAGAGAACACATGCACTTTTTAAAGCTATTTAATTCAATATCAATCTTTAAATCAAATATCTATAAGTAAATTTGTTGAAGGTATGTCTAGTTATAGTTATAAAGTTATTCTTTTGTTCTACGGTAAATGTCATGTTGATATTCAATAGGACTGAACTATATTCAATGGGTCAGTAAAAAATTCATTTAAGTTGTTTAAATTTCAAAAGATTTATGTTAACTATATCATTTTTAAAATCTTGCTGTCTGCTTTGAAATTCTGAACAAGAATTAAAATTAAACTCTAGATGATTAAAATACACATACAAGAAAAACACAAACATTGATTTGTTTTAGTTAGAAGGATGTTAATTATTTTATTTAACCATATTTATTTTATTTAAAAACATATTAAAGTTATATATATTAAATAAAACAGTTTTATACATTAACTAGTATTAAAAAATAATAGTTAAGAAACTCATGCGCCATTGTGCATATGTAAAAGCAAATATTGAAGTTGAGTGAAATCTAGATTTAGCTACTTTTGTGAATAAATGTCACACACAAAAAGCAAATAGAAAACAAAGAAAAAGTATGTTTTTGAAATATGGCTGTTTTTTTTTAACAGGAAAATACGAACTATAAATAAAACATATTTCCTAAATCTACATGATTTTATAAACAAATATCTCTTACTTCAATTTTTTTTATAGCATGATATTGTTTTTAAATAATAAGAATTGTATGTAGCAGAGAGAGTTCAATTTATAGGTTAACTAATAGTAAATATTAAACATGGCACCAATTAATTAAGTTGAACTCATTTTCAAAATAGCCAAACATGTTTTAAATTTGTTTACAATTTCTTAAAATGATATTAACCAGATTAAAAAATATTTTTTTTAAATTCTTGTTTATTTAGTTGAAAATTATAAAAAACAGCATTACAATAAAAATACTAATAATAAAACACTCAACGTTTAGATACTTTATTTTAATCAGTAAAGGTTTTGTCTTTTTGTAACACAAGTCCCAGTTATCTGCCCAAAGGGGGATTACTGTGCTCAATAACTTACTCCCTGAGTTTTACCTCAGTTACCTCGCATAGGCGTGAGTCCGCGGTTAAGCCCATATGGACTTAGCCATTCAAAGATGAGAATCGATGACCCAGTAGCATGAACGCTGAAGATTAGGATAAGTGACCAGGATGCATAGTCGTAGGGCTCTGTTTGTGTTTGTGAGAAAGAGACAAAGAAAGATCTAAGTGGAAAAAAACAGCTGTGAGGCTCTTTTTTTTTTTTTTTTGCATAGGGGTCAACCATAAATGACCTCACACTTCTAAGAGGGAGGTATATTGTAAAAAAGTGTAGCAAGGCGGAGGAGTGGGGTAGGGTCTAGAAAATGTAGCATCACTTTTCATATAAAAGAATAATTTTTGAAACTTAATTTCAGCACTTATTTCTTATTTTTTAAAAGAGACTATTTTGGAAAAATTGCAATAGAAAATTGATCAATACACCTAAAGATAACCAAGGATCAGTAAATAGTATAAAAAGAAATCATTGTTTTTAAAAATGCAACTTGCAAGGTGGGTGTAGGATGAATTGTGATGTTATTTTAATGGAAGGGGGAGGGGGGGGGTCTGAAAATGGAATGGGAGGAGGTAAAATTTAAAAAAGTAAGCTTAAGGTCATTTATGGATGACTGCATGTGTACAGGTTTTGAAAATGATCATTATTAAAAAGAAAATACATGTAAATAATGAATGTAAATATTTTTTAAAAATGTGTAGATATATGTTTACAATTTAAAAAGGATAAGTGAATAAAACAGTTCAATAATGATTAGACAAATGCAGTGATAATTTAATATTGAATCCATACACCTAAGAGGTGGGTGTATTTTGTCAAGAGTGTTTGTGGAACAAGATAGCCAAGCAACACATCATCCTGGGCTCTGAGTAAATAAATTATGTTGCGATAAACAATTATTTATGTCAGTCTTAAATTAAAAAAAGATACAATGGATGGAAATAAATTAAACTAAATAAACCTTTATAAAGATTGTAATCTATTAGGAATTTTAAAAATGTTACCACATATTAATGTAGGTTTTGTTATAAAGTAGGCCTATTATATAAGTATGAATAAACAAAATGATGTTTTTTTTTATATGTGACATATATTTAAATTACAATTTTCAAATAGTTTGAAGGCAAGGACAACAAAAGTAGCCAGAAACAAGCTGTGATCAGTGCGCAGGCTCCAATAGGGTCAGACTTCAATCCTCTAAACATAGAACAATACACCGGGAAAATATTTGAAATTGTAATGCATTTTTAAAACAACCATCCAAAGAATTTTTATTTTAAATATTAGGCCTATTAGCCATTTACACGATTTTTTTTTATAACAACTTTGGCCAAAGCTACTGTGTTGTTTATAAACAAAATTATGTTAAAAGTTATATAATTGTAATTCTATAGAAACTTCAAAGTTCAAAATAAATATTCTTGAAAATTTAAGTGCTACAAAAGGTGCCAAAAAGGCTGGTAATTATTTTTAAAAATTTCTTACGTGTATCAAACATTTTTTTATAATAAACCCAAACAATATTTATTTAAAGTAAATTAAAGCGTTGCAATGTGCAGCATGTTGATATTTAAATAAAAATATAAACAAAACAAAAATTATAAACTAGGTGTGGGATTTGTGCAATACATAAACAATAACTCTTTTGTTTCTTTTCTAATGCAAAAGATCAAGGGAATTGCCTGGATTGTTTGCCCTTGGCTACCTTGTTCCAACCTGGCTTTCTTGGGCACTGCCCACTCAGACAGGAAGATTACTGTTGCCATGATATGCACAGACAACAAGACGATCAGCATCCAGGAGAAATAGTCAAAGGGCTCTGAAATGGTGGACTGATGGTGTTACAAGATATATATGAAGGGCTCTGAAAGGATGGACCTATGACGTTACAAGATATATATGAAGGGCTATGAAATGATGAACCTATGACGTTAAAAGATATATATGAAGGGCTCTGAAATGATGGACTAATGGTGTTACAAGAAATATATGCAGGGCTCTAAAATGATGGTGTTACAAGAAATATATGAAGGGCTCTAAAATGATGGTGTTACAAGAAATATATGAAGGGCTCTGAAATGATGGTGTTACAAGAAATATATGAAGGGCTCTGAAATGATGGTGTTACAAGAAATATATGAAGGGCTCTAAAATGATGGTGTTACAAGAAATATATGAAGGGCTCTGAAATGATGGTGTTACAAGAAATATATGAAGGGCTCTGAAATGATGGTGTTACAAGAAATATATGAAGGGCTCTGAAATGATGGACTGATGTAGTTACAAGAAATATATGAAGGGCTCTAAAATGATGGTGTTACAAGATATATATGAAGGGCCTGAAATGATGGACTGATGGCATTACAAGAAATATATGAAGGGCTCTGAATTAAAGGCGTTACAAGATATATATGAAGGGCTATGAAATGACGGACTGAGGGCATTACAAGAAATATATGAAGGGCTCTGAATTAAAGGCGTTACAAGATATATATGAAGGGCTCTGAAATGATGGACCTATGGCGTTACATGATATATATGAAGGGCTATGAAATGATGGACCTATGACATTACATGATATATATGAAGGGCTATGAAATGATGGACCTATGACGTTACATGATATATATGAAGGGCTATGAAATGATGGACCGATGGCATTACATGATATATATTGAAGGGCTCGAAATGATGGACCTATGATGTTACATGATATATATGAAGGGCTCTGAAATGATGGACAGCTAGCTATACAAGATATACACACAACAACATGGTGTCAGGAACAAGGAACAGCATAAGACTGTGTATGCAAACCTGTGATTAATTCTATATTTAAAAATGTGTTAATTAATTGTCGTCTGCAAACCTTTGATTAATTCTATATTAAAAAATGTGTTAATTAATTGTTGTCTGCAAACCTTTGATTAATTCTATACAAAAGAAAATGAGCTAGTTAATCGTTGTCTGCAAACCTGTGATTAAATATATATTTTTTTAAATGTGTTAACCATTACTGCAAACCTTTTATTCTAAGTACAAAAACATTTCAATTAATCTTTGATTAATTGATTATATTTTGAATTGTTGTCTGCAAACCTTTGATAAATTCAATGCAACTGTCTGTATATATCTGTTTATAGAAGAAGCCACATAGCAATCTGAAAATCCACTTCTAAATGTTCATTACAAATGATCTCTCTCTAGCAAAGAAGATCGGTAAGCCAAAAATATTAACTACAGAACAATATTAGAATAAGTTCTTTGTTGAAATGAACTACTGATTTCTCAACAGTGTTTTAAAAATATACATACATACATACATATATAAGTTTTATAAAACTTTTGAGTCTAATATGAACTTACCTAAAAAGGCAGTTGGTGAAATAGCACCGTCCCGAAGGGCAACAATTATTTTAATGCCAGTTTCCAAATATGGCACAGAGAATCGAACTGCACTGGCTCTCTCCGGATTAATTTTTAATGAGGTCATCACGATATCCGCTTCACCGTCCAGAAGTGTCTTCACAAGGCCATTCCAGGTTTTAGACTAAAAGATAGGAAATTTTAGTTTACTAAGTATTTGAAAAAAATATAAAAATAAAAGCTTTTGGAGAGACAAGTAAAAATATTTTCCTAAGCCATACTGTGGTGGTAAGAGGGTTATAGGCTACATGAAATTAGCTAATTTAGAAAACTGAATGGAAATCACTATTTATCTATATGTGTGTTTGTGTCCTTCCATGCAATTGTGTGTGTATTTACGCATGCAATAAAATTTTAAACCTCTGAATGAGTATGGTTTTCTGTGTTTTCTTATATATTTAAAAAAATTAATTAAATGTGTTTTTAAAAGTGTTTGAAAGACTAAAAATATCCAGGTAAAGCAGACCTTGATGGCTCCCCATTGCCCATCTTTGACTTCTGTGATAGAGAAGTCAAAGTTGAGCTGAGTGCTCAGAACCTTCAGCAGGTCCATACTCAAGCCGACGCAACAGCGCAGGACTGTCATGTTGCTCATCCTGCAGAGTTTAAAGGATGATATTCTACATGATGAGGTTGATGGGAAGATAGGTTTATGGATATAAACTGAATTAGGCATGTGTTGCATAAAGGTTAATAAATGCAATTAATTATCTAATAAAAATAATGATTGGATAAAATTATTTATTGAACATAAACACATTTTTTTATTTTATTATACAAAATAATTAAGTTGTACCAATTAAAAGGTCATGATTACTTTACTAAATAAATACTTTCCTAGTGAGCATTAATTTTTGTAATTTTCTCAACTACAAGAATTAGGCCTATACACTAAAAATTGAACTTGCCTCTCTTTCTTTTCGTTCCGTGGATAAACATAGCAGTCTAAAGATTTTTCCTCACATTTTCCATCTTCCTCTGGCATTCTGTAGATTACATACGGCACTTCATCCAATGTGGCAACCCTGAGGAATGTTTTCTTTGGCCTTCCTGTTGGTGGAACAGATGAACCTCCTGGCCAGGTGATATCAGCCATTTTTAAACCTTGACCTTGCCATCTACCCACCTGTGAATACAATAGCAATTATTCGCACAAAAATATAGATACATCTTTGTACTTTTAAGAACAAAATAAGCACACCCTGAATCAAATGGTTTTTTTAGTATTGCCACACTAACTATACTTATACATAGATCAAGTCTCCTTCTAGAAAGTCCCAAAAATCATGAAAAGTCAAGTAAAGTGTGTCATTTATTTGTGGATGACAACAGTAAATAAATTCAAGGAGAAGCTGAGATTTATATTTCTTTAGTAATAAACAAGTAATTAAAAAAGTCTAGTGACAATTTTAGCGCAATTTCCTTGTGTTATCTAAAAATAGCTCTGTCGTAGCGTAAATCAACAGCAGGGTTAGTAAAACCATTGGTTAGTTATTAAAACGTTTTTTATTAATTTTTTTTTTCAGTATTTTACATGTTTTATTTACAATAGAGTAACATGACTAAAAACTAAAAACCATTGCGCGCCCAGCTACCGAACGTGACGTCGCAGCCATTGAACGTGATGGCGCAGCTATTGAACGTGATGACGCGTGTGGTGTGGTTGCATAAAATGCCTACTAATTCGGTCCAAATTTTAATTAATTCAAAACATTTTTTGTGACTGAACGAAAGGATATTTTTGAAATCTTTCTTCGGCAATATTGTTCTAAATTATGGCAGGAATCGATTGGTACATGTTTCAAGTCGCTAAGTGGTCTGGTTGCCGAGATATGGGCCAAAAACTGCTTTTTTTCGAGGTTTTTTTGCTTTTCCGGGAAATACATGAAAGAAACCCGGAATTTGTATGGCCTATGCTCATCCTCGTAACTTGCTTAACATAATTGCTTTTGGAACTAGTCATCGATATTGCTTCGTTGAGGAGGAGATACGACTTAAAGCTGCGGACACACATCCATCCATCCATCCATCCATCCATTCATTCATACATTCATACATCCAGAAATGACGGGTTAATAAACGCAATTCTCCAGAATGGAAATTGCGCTAAAAATCTTTAGACGATTGACTATTATTATAAAAAATTATAATTTATAAAGTAGGCCTATATTAATTTTTAATGCTTGGACAATTCACCTCTCATACTTATAAAATTCTTTTCTTCATGCTGATTCCTTTTTTTTTAAATTAAAAGAATATTTAACTAATGGAAATTTTTAAGACTATAGCAAGTAACGGAAATCTTAGGGCCTACAATAAAAAGTTTTGTTTGCACTTCAATTATACACGACTCAAAAGTTATCTCCCCGTATTGAAATATAAACTTTGCACAATAATTTTAGATAAACAAGTTTAGTAAATAAATGAGAAAAGCAGTTGATCTACAAAATTTAAAAAATGGAAACAGAGACTGAATCGCCAAGAATATTTAGTAGATCTATATAGTTAAATGGACCTACGTGTGAGACTGCAATACAACAATATTCAAACCTCTCTCCAGGCTGTTGAGTTTGTTGTTCTGTCTGACCACTGCAGGTTCAATATTATTAACTCCGTTGATGTAAGAGTTCCATTTTCATTGAAAACAAGTTGAGGTTCATTCAGTACAGAGGCATTCAACATATACCTAATGGTTTGGATGTGAAATTTTCTTACACGCAAATAATAACTTTTTACATTCTTTTAAACATGCATATGGTTCCTACCAGGGGCGTAGCGAGCGGGGGGGGGGGGGTGCGGACCGCAACGGGTGACACCATTTAGGGGGTGACACCAAGGCAAAAAATAGCAAAATATATAGAGAAAAACTTGAGGGGGGGGGGGGGGGTGAAAATCGAAAATTTGAAACTTTGTCCCCGGGAAGGGTCACTACACCTCTGGGGGGTGACACCATTAAGTGCCGCACCGGGTGATACCCGACCTCGCTACGCCACTGGTTCCTACGTATTAGTAATACCTATACAATCGTAAAACTATTAATGTATTGTGGAAAACAAAAGCATTGAAATCGAAATGAGGTTATAGCTGCAGTATTTCTTACAGACTTTTTTTCTTGGGGGGGGGGGGGCACTTGATATTTTCGGGGGAGGGGCGGCGGTCAACATTTTCCTGGGGGGAAGGGGGCGGCGGACACTGGTATACGTATATGTTTTCTATATAAATTCCATTTCGTTTGGGGGGGGGGGGGGCGGTAGACTTTCTTCGGGGGGTGGGGGGCTCCGCCCGGCGCACCCCCCCCCCTCCCCCGAAGAGATGCCTGGAAGAAACTGTATAGCTGTAACATTGATATGAGAGATAGTGTAGTCGGCACTTTGCAGTGGAAGAAAGTCCATCGATCCACCGAACGAAATATAATTTATACAGAAAATATATACTATACTTTACCTGTGTCCCCCCCCCCCCCCCACCAATCGGAGGAAAAAAAAGTTTGAAAGAAACACTGAAATGATAAAAAACGTTTTAATAGAGATTTCATTCGTTCTTAATTTCAAGAGAGAGGGGGTGAAAGTATATGGCGTTAATATGATACGAGTGGGCGGGCTTTTTTTTGTGACTACGTGTTACAATATTTGGCGGGGAAGGAATATATTGTCTAAAATAGCATGACGTCATTTTTTGGACAATTCGTTGGACAAATGTTAATAACACTTTTTTCGGCGATGCTGCGTAACGCATTATGTTTATATCCAACCGCTACATCTTCTACAGTCGTATGTTTAGCTACGTTATCTTTTTATTCAACCGCACTAAATGTATGTTTTCGTTACAGACCCAAAGGTACTTAACAGATCAGTTCGGGGTGGGTTAAGGAGAGGGGGTCAACTTCATTCACCACTGTCCAGCCACTTTAGGTGAATGATCCTATCCAGTGTATGCCTAGGTGTAACATTAATGTCACTCTACACAACTGTGGTGATGAGGTGGGGGGGGGGGGGGGGGGGAGGGATAACTGACAGAGTGAACATAGCGTCAGTTTTTAGATGACTATTCTAAACATACATATACAATTCTACATATATACTGATTCAGAAATAGATTTAAATAATTAAAAGTGGTACTATTGGTATTATGACAGTAAAACATTTTTTTACAGAGGGATCCACGGGTGTGGGGGTTGTAACCCCCCTAACCGCCCCCCTGCTTACGCCACTGGTTACAGAAAAACAAAACAAAACAACAAGCACGTGAAGCTTGAGTTACTTGTAGAGTATCTCCCCATCTTTCCAGAACAAATCCTTCTGTGTGGCGTTACAGGCGAACTTGGGCGGGATGGTCATGTTGGCAAGCAGACCCCGAGTGTTGGCCATGTTCATCAGGGCCGTTAGCCACAGTTTGACACCCCAACGTATCACTCTTTTCATGGCCTCTTTGTCGAATTCAAAGGTGATACCTGGTTTGATGAGAACAGTTTCTTTAATTAATGAGTATGATGGCTAAATTAAGCGAAGAAAAAGACAGTGAAAGAGTTTGAACAGCTAAAGAGAGTTTTGATGATCTGGTAGAGAGTTCAATAAAGACGGGTGCGGTATAGCAGCTAAAGGTGAGCTTACAGCAGTAATGTTAGTCCTCAACACAGTGTCATTGCAGTTCTAGATCAACCTCACACTCACCCTCCTTAGACCAACACTCCCGACATCTGACACCCATCCTCCTTACACCTCCTCCTTACACCTACCTTCCTTACACCTACCTTCCTTACACCCACCCTCTTACACCCACCCCTCTTACACCCACCCCCTTACACCCTCCCTCCGTACACTCCCCTCCTTACACCCACCCTCCTTACACCCCTTCCTTACACCCACCCTCCTTACACCCACCCTCTTTACACTCCCCTCCTTAACCCACCCTCCTTAAACCCACCTCCTTACACCAATCTTCTTACACCCACTCTCTTTACACTCCCCTCCTTAACCCACCCTCCTTACACCCACCGCCTTACACCCACCTTCTTTCACCCACCCTCTTTACACTCCCCTCCTTAACCCACCCTCCTTACACCCACCTCCTTACACCCACCTTCTTACACCCACCCTCTTTACACTCCCCTCCTTAACCCACCCTCCTTACACCCACCCTTCTTACACCCGCCCCTCCTTACACCCACCACCCTGACCCATCCTCCCTGGTACCCAACCACATTATACCTACCCTAACACCAAACACCTTCCTCCTTACATCTATCGCTCCCTAGACTTATCCTCCTTACAGCTGCCCTCCTTATACCCCAACGTCCTTGAAGCCTTACACCCATTCAAATAAAAAACCCAAACTAACGAAACAAAACTCACCCATAAGTCCAATTTTAAAGCTTTTGGACACATGTTTGGCGTTTGGTATGGCTGTGGTCGTGAGGATCCACACGTAGTCTCGTCCTGTAAGCTCTAGGTGGTTCGCTTCCTCTATGATCTCTAGGGTCATCACACTGTAGAGGAGGCAACACAACACGGGTCATTGTATTTCTTAACACAACACGGGTCATTGTATTTCTTAACACAACACGGGTCATTGTATTTCTTAATAGAACGTGGGTCATTGTATTTCTTTACACAACACGGGTCATTGTATTTCTTAACACAACACGGGTCATTGTATTTCTTATCACAACACGGGTCATTGTTTTTCTTAACACAACACGGGTCATTGTATTTCTTAACACAACACGGGTCATTGTATTTCGTAACACAACACGGGTCATTGTATTTCTTAACACAACACGGGTCATTGTATTTCTTAAAACAAAACGGGTCATTGTAATTCTTGACACAACACGGGTCATTGTATTTCTTAAAACAACACGGGTCATTGTATGTCTTAATACAACACGGGTCATTGTATTTCTTAACACAACACGGGTCATTGTATTTCTTAACACAACACGGGTCATTGTATGTCTTAACACAACACGGGTCATTGTATTTCTTAACACAACACGGGTCATTGTATTTCTTAACACAACACGGGTCATTGTATTTCTTAACACAACACGGGTCATTGTATTTCTTAACACAACACGGGTCATTGTATTTCTTAACACAACACGAGTCATTGTATTTCTTAACACAACACGGGTCATTGTATTTCTTAACACAACACGAGTCATTGTATTTCTTAACACAACACGGGTCATTGTATTTCTTAACACAACACGTGTCATTGTATTTCTTAACACAACACGGGTCATTGTATTTCTTAACACAACACGGGTCATTGTATTTCTTAACACAACACGGGTCATTGTATTTCTTAACACAACACGGGTCATTGTATTTCTTAACACAACACGGGTCATTGTATTTCTTAACACAACACGGGTCATTGTATTTCTTAACACAACACGGGTCATTGTATTTCTTAACACAACACGGGTCATTGTATTTCTTAACACAACACGGGTCATTGTATTTCTTAACACAACACGAGTCATTGTATTTCTTAACACAACGTGGGTCATTGTATTTCTTAACACAACACGGGTCATTGTATTTCTAAACACAACACAGGTCATTGTATTTCTTGACACAACACGAGTCATTGTATTTCTTAACACAACACGGGTCATTGTATTTCTTAACACAACGTGGGCCATTGTATTTCTTAACACAGCACGGGTCATTGTATTTACTATAACCCGGGTCACTGTATTTCTTAGCTTAACCTGGGTCAGTGGATTTACTACAATCAGTATTTCTTCCAGACTTTTTTCTCCGGGATTGCACTTGAAATTTTCGGGGGGGGGGGGGGGGGAGGGGGGGGAGGCGGGGGCGGACAACAATTTTCGGGGAGGGGGACGGACACTGTTAAAAGTATATATGCCTCCCCCCGAAGAGATGCCTGGAAGAAACTCTGACTACAATATGGGTCATTGTATTTATTACAACGTGGGTCGCTGTGTCTTTTAGTTTGGTGGCCGGAAAGAACCGCAACGGAAAAAAGCGCAACGGAAAAAAGCGCAAAACAAAAAGCGCAACGGAAATAAGCGCACACGGAAAAAAGCGCAAAGAGAAAAAAGCGCACACGGAAAAAAGCGCAAAGAGAAAAAAGCGCAAAGAGAAAAAAGCGCAAAAAGAAAAAAGCGCACACAGATATTGAGAGATACTTCGTGTAATGTCGATATCAAGGATAGTTTTATGTTTATTTATACGAGAATAGTAGTTGAATAATTATTGAGCAAGAAAATAATAGGCATTGTGTAAAGCGATTATCGCCTGTATCGTGCTAAGGGGAATGCACATGGTAGTGGTACGCTTTAAATGGTAGTAGATCACGTGATCAAACACGAAACTCTTACAGCAGCCCTAACAGTCATGTATAAATGTGTTTATCTAGTCGATATAGGTATTTGTGCTAAATTTCTCTTTTGCACAATTTTCGTTGTTTTTTCTGGTTGCGCATTTTTCTGTTTGCGTTTTTTTCTGTTTGCGCTTTTTTCTGTGTGCGTTTTTTTCTGTTTGCGCTTTTTTCCGTTTGCGCTTTTTTCTGTTTGCGCTTTTTTCTGTTTGCGCTTTTTTCCGTTTGCGCTTTTTTCTGTTTGCGCTTTTTTCTGTGTGCGCTTTTTTCTGTTTGCGTTTTTTTTCCGTTTGCGCTTTTTTCTGTGTGCGCTTTTTTCCGTTTGCGCTTTTTTCCGTTTGCGCTTTTTTCTGTGTGCGCTTTTTTCTGTTTGCGCTTTTTTCTGTTTGCGCTTTTTTTCCGTTTGCGCTTTTTTCTGTTTGCTCTTTTTTCTGTGTGCGCTTTTTTCTGTTTGCGTTTTGTTCCGTTTGCGCTTTTTTCTGTGTTCGCTTTTTTCCGTTTGCGCTTTTTTCCGTTTGCGCTTTTTTCTGTGTGCGCTTTTTTCTGTTTGCGCTTTTTTCTGTGTGCGCTTTTTTCCGTTTGCGTTTTTTTCCGTTTGCGCTTTTTTCTGTGTGCGCTTTTTTCTGTTTGCGCTTTTTTCCGTTTGCGCTTTTTTCTGTTTGCGCTTTTTTCCGTTTGCGCTTTTTTCTGTTTGCGCTTTTTTCTGTGTGCGCTTTTTTCTTTTTGCGCTTTTTTCTCTTTGCGCTTTTTTCTCTTTGCGCTTTTTTCCGTGTGCGCTTTTTTCTCTTTGCGCTTTTTTCCGTGTGCGCTTTTTTCTGTTTGTGCTTTTTCCTGTGTGCGCTTTTTTCTTTTTGCGCTTTTTTCTCTTTGCGCTTTTTTCTCTTTGCGCTTTTTTCCGTGTGCGCTTTTTTCTCTTTGCGCTTTTTTCCGTGTGCGCTTATTTCCGTTGCGCTTTTTGTTTTGCGCTTTTTTCCGTTGCGCTTTTTTCCGTTGCGCTTCTTTCTGGGAACCTTTAGTTTAACCTGGGTCGCTGCATTGACTACAATATGGATCACTGTATTGACTATAATATGGATCATTGTATTTTTAGCACAACCTGGGTCACTGTATTTTCTACAACCAGGGTCAGTGTATTTATTACACACACGGGTCACTATATTTCTAACACAGCCCACGCAGTCTACCGTTTTAAATTTAAAATTAAATGTAAAAAAAGTTGTTTTCCTTGGATTGTTTGTTAACGAATGATATACGTTGACATTTACCATCCATGAAATCAATCGGTGTAGATAAATGTTTTAGAAAAAAATATAATTTAATATTACCAGAACAACACATTCATCCATGTAGGAGATCTAAACGGGGGGGGGGGGGGGGGGGTGGAGGTTGGACAGTTGACCTTATTAGATTGTAGACTGGGGGGGGGGCGTGGAGGTTTCAATGTCTAGAGGTTAAATCTAACATGAGTATACTCATAACATCAGTATACTTATAACATCAGTATATTCTTTACATCAGTAGGCTATACTAATAACATCAGTATACTTCTAACATCAGTATATTCATAACGTCAGTAGGCTATACTAATAACATCAGTATACTTCTAACATCAGTATATTCATAACGTCAGTAGGCTATACTTATAACATCAGAATACTCATAACATCAGTAGGCTATACTTATAACATCAGTAGGCTATACTTATAACATCAGCATACTCATAACATCAGTATATTCATAACATCAGTACGCTCATAACATCAGTACGCTCATAACATCAGTACACTCATAACATCAGTATACTCATAACATCAGTATACTTATAACATCAGTATACCCATAAGTATACTTATATAACATAAGTATACTTATAACATCAGTATACTTATAACATCACAAATATATCACAAACTTATCACAAACTCAGAGTGTTTATTTAGCCTGTCCACAACATGTTTAACTTTAAAGCTGCACGGGTTGTGTTTAAGACAAAGCAGTATGTTTCGAAAGCTACACCCTTGTAGGTGGATTTAAAAATAGAAAACCTCATATTGTGTTTCGACCAATGGAGGTATTCTAATGATATTTTGGGAATAGCCAACACTAAAGTTTGTCACAGAAGGTTATATATCCTCACAGTGCAGGTGTAACCACTACTCCCCCTCTCTCTCTCTCCCTCTGTAGTCTCAACCATCTCATCTCTCTGTAGAGTACCCAGTGGTTACCGACTTGAGTTATGCTCTTTAACCGTACATGATGGATCAGGGTTAAGAATCAAACATTTCTCTCACCTATGTTGCCAGCCGCCCCCCCCTCCCATTGTATCACACTACCAGGTTTGGACCCGAGGGACAGTTCATCCAAGGTAACAATCAACGGTCCAGAGTTTTGGTTCATTTCACGACTAGAAATAGCATATTCTAACGCTAGCAGAGGCGTAGCGACCCCTCCCGGCGCCCGGGAACAAACTTTCGATTTGCACCCCTCAAACTTTCAATTTGGCGCCCCCCTAAGATCGGCGCCCGGGGACATATGTCCCCCCCCCCCCTCGCTACGCATCTGAACGCTAGATAACATTATTATTTCTACTTGAGCACACATTTGAATTAAAACCGGAGCTGTAATTAATCGGGGGAGGGGTCCGACCGACCCGGAGGTATGTAGGAGTCGCTACGCTTCTGAGAAAAAGCACTCAAAACGAACCGAACACCATTGGTGCGGTGCTATTACGGACCGCACCCAACGCAAATACCTTGCGTCCGTTCCTTAATCCACCCGCATTTCAGCGATCACAGCCATCATGTGGCCAGATAAAAAAACGTGGCGTGATGGCCAAACTAAATCATTGACTGGTCGCAATATCTGGTATGTAAATGAGCCACTTGGTCAAATAAATTCATTCCCCCATTGGATCCCAGACGGTGCTAAATCTTAATATTCCGTGCTCGGAAGTTGAATCGGATGTTTTCGGCTGTTTTCGGTTGCCTTGTATTTTATTTTTCATTTGACCATGGACCAGAAACTATGGAAAGTACAGTTGGGTTTCGTTGTAATTTTGTATGTGTGTACATAATTCAAAACGTAAAGAAACAGACACACACAAACACACAGACACACACACAAATATATGTATATATTGTATTATATACGAGCATGCAAAGCCTTCTCATCAGTTCTCTATTATCTCCTACCCCGAAATTGAAATGGGACACTATTCAACGTGTCGACTACAAACTTCCCCGAACATAAACCTGATCCTAACACTAAACCTAACCCTATGTGTATGGTTAGGTGATGTTAGGGTTAGAGCCTGAAGATTGGGCGTGGGCTATGGCTAGGGTTACGCCTGAGGGCTAGGGTTAAAGCTAGGATTAGGATAATGATTTGGTTCATGCATATATAATATAGTGTATAATTATTGATTTGAGTTTAGGTTTAGTGGTAACTAGAATTAGAGTTAGGGTTAGTAAATATTCTGGCTTAATCCACACCTTCCCTGTACCTCTGCTTGTGATTCCATAGAACCATATTGACCCTAGAGATTTGCTGACCTGCTGGAGAAGGAATATTCTATTGACCCTAGACACTGACTGACTGACCTGCTACTGCGGAGAAGGAATATCCTATTGACCCTAGACATAGACTGACCTGCTACTGTGGAGAAGGAATATTCTATTGACCCTAGACTGACCTGCTACTGTGTAGAAGGAATATCCCATTGACCCTATAGGCCTACGTTTGCTCACTGACCTGCTACTGTGTAGAAGAAATATCCTATTGACCCTATAGGCCTACGTTTGCTCACTGACCTGCTACTGTGTAGAAGGAATATCCCATTGACCCTATAGGCCTACGTTTGCTCACTGACCTGCTACTGTGGAGAAGAAATATCCTATTGACCCTAGACTGACCTGCTACTGTGTAGAAGGAATATCCCATTGACCCTATAGGCCTACGTTTGCTCACTGACCTGCTACTGTGTAGAAGAAATATCCTATTGACCCTAGACTGACCTGCTACTGTGTAGAAGGAATATCCCATTGACCCTATAGGCCTACGTTTGCTCACTGACCTGCTACTGTGTAGAAGAAATATCCTATTGACCCTATAGGCCTACGTTTGCTCACTGACCTGCTACTGTGTAGAAGGAATATCCCATTGACCCTATAGGCCTACGTTTGCTCACTGACCTGCTACTGTGGAGAAGAAATATCCTATTGACCCTAGACTGACCTGCTACTGTGTAGAAGGAATATCCCATTGACCCTATAGGCCTACGTTTGCTCACTGACCTGCTACTGTGTAGAAGAAATATCCTATTGACCCTATAGGCCTACGTTTGCTCACTGACCTGCTACTGTGTAGAAGGAATATCCCATTGACCCTATAGGCCTACGTTTGCTCACTGACCTGCTACTGTGTAGAAGAAATATCCTATTGACCTTATAGGCCTACGTTTGCTCACTGACCTGCTACTGTGTAGAAGGAATATCCTATTAAACCTATAGGCCTACGTTTGCTCACTAACCTGCTACTGTGTAGAAGGAATATCCCATTACCCTATAGGCCTACGTTTGCTCACTGACCTGCTACTGTGTAGAAGAAATATCCTATTGACCCTATAGGCCTACGTTTGCTCACTGACCTGCTACTGTGTAGAAGAAATATCCTATTGACCTTATAGGCCTACGTTTGCTCACTGACCTGCTACTGTGGAGAAGAAATATCCTATTGACCCTAGACTGACCTGCTACTGTGTAGAAGGAATATCCCATTGACCCTATAGGCCTACGTTTGCTCACTGACCTGCTACTGTGTAGAAGAAATATCCTATTGACCCTATAGGCCTACGTTTGCTCACTGACCTGCTACTGTGTAGAAGAAATATCCTATTGACCCTATAGGCCTACGTTTGCTCACTGACCTGCTACTGTGTAGAAGGAATATCCCATTGACCCTATAGGCCTACGTTTGCTCACTGACCTGCTACTGTGGAGAAGAAATATCCTATTGACCCTATAGGCCTACGTTTGCTCACTGACCTGCTACTGTGTAGAAGGAATATCCCATTGACCCTATAGGCCTACGTTTGCTCACTGAGCTGCTACTGTGTAGAAGAAATATCCTATTGACCTTATAGGCCTACGTTTGCTCACTGAGCTGATACTGTGTAGAAGAAATATCCTATTGACCTTATAGGCCTACGTTTGCTCACTGACCTGCTACTGTGTAGAAGGAATATCCTATTAAACCTATAGGCCTACGTTTGCTCACTGACCTGCTACTGTGTAGAAGGAATATCCCATTGACCCTATAGGCCTACGTTTGCTCACTGACCTGCTACTGTGTAGAAGAAATATCCTATTGACCCTATAGGCCTACGTTTGCTCACTGACCTGCTACTGTGTAGAAGAAATATCCTATTGACCTTATAGGCCTACGTTTGCTCACTGACCTGCTACTGTGGAGAAGAAATATCCTATTGACCCTAGACTGACCTGCTACTGTGTAGAAGGAATATCCCATTGACCCTATAGGCCTACGTTTGCTCACTGACCTGCTACTGTGTAGAAGAAATATCCTATTGACTCTATAGGCCTACGTTTGCTCACTGACCTGCTACTGTGTAGAAGAAATATCCTATTGACCCTATAGGCCTACGTTTGCTCACTGACCTGCTACTGTGTAGAAGGAATATCCCATTGACCCTATAGGCCTACGTTTGCTCACTGACCTGCTACTGTGTAGAAGAAATATCCTATTGACTCTATAGGCCTACGTTTGCTCACTGACCTGCTACTGTGTAGAAGAAATATCCTATTGACCCTATAGGCCTACGTTTGCTCACTGACCTGCTACTGTGTAGAAGGAATATCCCATTGACCCTATAGGCCTACGTTTGCTCACTGACCTGCTACTGTGTAGAAGAAATATCCTATTGACCCTATAGGCCTACGTTTGCTCACTGACCTGCTACTGTGTAGAAGGAATATCCCATTGACCCTATAGGCCTACGTTTGCTCACTGACCTGCTACTGTGTAGAAGAAATATCCTATTGACTCTATAGGCCTACGTTTGCTCACTGACCTGCTACTGTGTAGAAGAAATATCCTATTGACCCTATAGGCCTACGTTTGCTCACTGACCTGCTACTGTGTAGAAGGAATATCCCATTGACCCTATAGGCCTACGTTTGCTCACTGACCTGCTACTGTGTAGAAGAAATATCCTATTGACTCTATAGGCCTACGTTCGCTCACTGACCTGATACTGTGTAGAAGAAATATCCTATTGACCCTATAGGCCTACGTTTGCTCACTGACCTGCTACTGTGTAGAAGAAATATCCTATCGACCCTAGACATTGACTCACTGACCTGCTACTGTGTAGAAGGAATATCCTATTGACCCTAGACTGACCTGCTACTGTGTAGTAGGAATATCCGTGTGTCCGTGCCTTTGACCTTTGACAGCTGGGACCGGATCTCGGACTTTTCCCTGATGTGGATGGTGGATAGAATCTCCAAGCTGTATACAAAATTTGGACATCGTTATGTTTTTTTTCTTAATGTCTCTGCTTTAAGGGGGTCATCCACAAATAACGTCATGCTTTTTTGACGATTTTAACAACCCCCTTCCCCACATCGTCAAAATAAAAGTCAGACCTCCACCCCTCTCCCCCCTCCCAAAGTAACGCCACACCTCAACCTACAACCCTCTCCCCTTCCAGTGTTTTTTTTTATTTTTTAAAAAATCATTGATTTCTTTCTCAAATATTTTCTGAACTCGATAAACACTGAATTTTTTTTTCAATTTACAAAAATAGCCCTTTTAAAATGCGAATAACGGCTAAAATTAAGTTTCTTTTTAAAAGGCGTCATATTTTCTAACCACCCACCCCCTCGCCCACCCTCTCATCACACATCATCACTCGATTTCGAACACATCCCCACACCCTCTTCACCCATAGAGGTGTGACGTCGTTTATGAACAACCCTGAGAAGATTAAAGTATCATAAATAAATTCTAAAAATAAATAAAATAAAAATTAATTATAAAAAAAAAATCCGAAAAAATAACAAATAAATAAACAAAAAACATAATGTTTTCGATTTTATGGGGTGAGTAATTTGAGTTGTCAAAATTGAGTTACCTCTCTTTCCTTGAGTCTGCGGGCGTCGACAAGGATTTCTTCACGCTAGCCTCGACGATGTTTTCAAAGGAGCTGAGAAACTGGCTGTGTCCGGCCACCGGGGTGGTGATGATGGTGAAGGTCGTCCAGTTGTACCGCTCCAGGAGACTAGCCATGGCCATAGCTTGATGCTCGATCGTAGGCGCCAGCTGGACTGTTCTAGACTAAATCAATGGAAATTTTATTAGAGATAACTTTATTGAAAAAAATATAAACCCGCTTCTGTTTTTCATTTTTATCTAATTATTATTCAATTTGGCTCAAAGCGTAGACATATAGATTAATTTAATCATACAACACATTGCGAAGTCTACAGTATATTTGATTATCGGCCAAAACCTACTTTTTGGGAACAGCTAGAGTGAAACGCTAACGCTATCGCTTTTGTGGCTGTGTTGTAAATAACATGAAACCATGTAGAGTATTGTAGAGTGATTTCCCCTGCATACGAGACGTCTAGATTAATATCTTCGATTATTTAGGCGTGGGTTGATGTTGTTTATGGTGTGGCTGGATCAGAAATAGTGTACAGAGAACAGGGAATCTTTTTTAGGTATTTGGTTCACGCTAGGAAATTGAGACCAGGGGTTTCTTTCAGATATTTTTCTCTGGAGAGGGGTGGGGGGCTCTTAAAAGATTCGCGTCTCTCGTCTCACAAAAGTAACTATTTTCTTTATAAATTATACATTTAAAAAATATTTTGTCCGGTGGGGGGCGGATTCGGACCCAGTGTTTCTACCAGGCATCTCTGGTGGGGGTGGGGGGCGGAGCCCTCCCGATGAGTCTACCCCCCCCCCGTACGAAATGGAATTTATATAGAAAATATATACTTTTAACAGTGTCCGCCCCCTCCCTCCCCCGGAAATTTGAGTCCGTCTCCCCCCCCTACAAAAATTTCAAGCCCTACCCCCCCCCCCCCCCCAAAAAAAAGTCTGAAAGAAAAACTGGTTGGAACTCCTACACGGGAGGGCTGTACACCCCAATAGAGATGCCTGAAAGAAACAACTGGTTGAGACATTTAGTTGACGGCTGAAAGGAGGATGTGTGGTCTAGCGCGTGCTCACCCGACAGTCACGAGATTGGAACCCGGGCCCACGAGAGCGTAGATGGTCCCGTGACCTAACTGTCCCTCATGTCCGAACCCCCGGGGTGCGATACACTATGGGGGGGGGGGGGAAGGAAACCAAATCGTGGTGAAACCCACGGATCTAGCGGCTGGTAACCTGAGTGAGAGAAATGCTAATATTGAGCCGGCCTAGACAAGACACGAGTGTTCCAGAGAAATTGAGTTGAACTGAGAAGGAGATTGTATTAGTTCTAGTAAAGTTTTAAATCTGCTTTTTATTTATGTTAATAATTTATACTATGGCAGCAGCATATAAGAGGCATTTATCTTATACATTAAAATTTAAAGATTTTGTTTATAAATTGTAAATTTTAAATATTTTTTGGGCATCGTTCCTTTCGTACAATTTATATATTTTATATGTGGAGAAATAAAACTTAGAAACCGGATTTAATTAATATAAAATTAAGTGCCATCCCACATACGATCAATACAGCACAGTATTAGTATCTTAAATAAATATAAACCGGTTCACAAACAACGTTGCGCGATATTAATAGTCGAGTTCTTAAATTATTCAACGCATATTCTCCTAGCAAATATCTTATGAATGATTAATTTTTTAAAATTTTAAAACGCAAGCACTTTAGGAGTTGTCGGTATTGGTTTCAGGGGCGAGAATAACACTTTTTTTTTGTTTTGTCTGGAATTGCCAGCCATCATCCCACACCCTAAGATTTATACTGTGTTGTAGTGAGGCATTATTGGAGCTAGGCTGGAGTTTTAGTTTAGACTTTGTGGGTACATAATGCTGAATAACTTGTTCTTTGTACAGTCATACAATGATACACACATGCACACAATCATTCAGTCATACATTTAGTCATTCAGTCATGTTCACAATCATGACTCCCTAAATGTCATACACATAATTGTACAACACACACCCATCATTTATTCAAACAAGCAATCATTCTATTATACATACAATCATGAATATTACACAACTACATACGCTCATATACAATTACTTACGCAAACGATTAATCATACACATTATCTGATACAATAGCACAATCATACATTCGCGCATACACACCATCATTCCGTACACACATTCATTTAATCATACACATTACTACACTTACAAAATCACACAGTCATACACTAAGAATACTAACATCTCTTGTTTGTAAATAAACGTTCATTTTGAAACAGTAGTTGTGAAATGTGAATATTTAAGGCAATGGGTTGTTTCTTCATGCGACTTTTAGGTTAAGGAACTTAGGTAAACTGCGATGGCTCTAAAATCCACAAACCATTGAGAGTAGTCTTACATTTCAGCTGTGATAATGGCAAGGGCATTGATAAAAAAGCAAATGTTGTTCAATAAAACCCGCGTAAGTTTCTATTGCTTCTAAAATAATTTAAAACACGTTTGTTTGATATTCAATCTTTAATAAAATCCCATTTTTAACTACTTTTGTGTGCGTGTGTGCACGTGAGTGTTAATATCACTATAATTATGGCGTACCAAACAAAGTCGATAAAAGTAAAGTATTTTGCTAGCTCGTATTCCATTCCAACTTGCCTCATCTAGTTCTGTTTGTTGTTACTATATTATTATATTTAATCGCTCTGATCTTAAGAAGACTCTCCAATTTAAACCTATTTTATCTTGTCGTGATATTGTTACCGGGGATAACACGATCAATTGTCAGATTTATTACAAAGCAGATATGAGAAAGGTAGCCGTATGGCCTTCTCAAATCCATCCAGCTCTGATGTTTAACTGACTTAAGTTTATATGACAAAGTTCACCCAGCTCTGAGGGTTACCTGACAAGTCTATAAGACAAAAGTAATCCAGATCTGATCGTTACCTGTCTTAAATTTATAGAACTCTATCCGGCTCTGATGATTTCCTAACTCAAGTGTGTAGGATAAAACAGCCTTTTCTGATGAGTACCCTGGGTAAACCGGTTAAGCTTTTTTGACTATCTCTAATTAGCTTACCAGACTATACCTAATTAGCTCACCAATCTGAAATGAACTCACCTGGCTATCCCCGACGTACTCAGAATCCCAAGAAATGATGGGCAGGCCGAGGAACTCAGCCAGTTTGAGGATGTACTTGTTGGAGCTGGTTCTCCTGCTCATACCCAGGGGGTTGTTGATGTTGAGGAGTGTGATCACGTGGTTGGGAAACATGCCCTTACAGAAGGTGTCCAGAATCTCTCTGGGCGAGTCGTACGCCATGCTGTGGGTTCCTTCTTTGATGGTGTAGTTCATGGCGATCCGTTCGTAGCGTCGTCTGAAGGTGAGGAGGGTGCTGGATTGTTCCTTGCCCAGGTCGTTTATCGAGATGGATTTCGGGAACAAGGAGTGGAGGCTGACGAGGGGCGGGGCGCCCCGTGCAGGGGAGGAGCCGAGGGTGAGGCATAGGAGCACAGCCAGAAGTAACACGTCCAGGGGCGAGCACCGCATGCTTGCTGGAGGTGTTTTGTGTTGTTTGAGCGATAGAGTAGCCGCCCTTGGAGAGTGATCGGAACAGGAAGACGGATTTTTAGAGCAATGGAGTCTCATGTCACGTGACTTCAATAACTTGGAGGGCTTCATACCACGTGACGTAGTGCGGGATGTCGTATCACGTGATACACAGTCACCGTGTGGCAAGACATTTTCATTCATATAATTGTAGGAGCTATTATCCCGGGACGATGAAGATCGCTGCGCATTAAGGGAAAGATTAGAACACTCCGTATCATAAAATGGCGGTTCCCTTGGCCGTGAATTCTCAGAACCACAGGTACAATCCTCCTGACTATGAACACCAAGCACCTTCACAGGTAATGTAGCACTGATCGGGGTGTGAATGCTACTTACCCCACAGCTCACACACAGGACTGGCAACGTGAAATTATCATATCCAGTCTGGCAGAGATTCAAAGCTGCAGGCTGCAAGATTAAATGGCAACAATTTAAATTATGATGGTTCTGAATTGTGACATCATCACTTGTGTCTACTTGTGGCATTTTGAGAACGTGGTGAAATAGGCAAGCAGGGTGGAAATTATGGGATGTGGGTGCCATCTTTGGAGCTAAACAAAGAACCTGGAGACTCCTGGGATTACAGAAATCTGCCACGTTTCCTGTAAGATTTCTATTAATAGCTGCACATACGTCATCATTATTCTTGCCCGAGATTTTAATCACAGTGTCTAAAACACAACGCAATCGTCCTAGAATTTGTACAATAATTATTAAAGCTAAGGCGCCAGAATATCTTAAGCGAATGATAACAAAAGATGAATATATATAATATGCGTTGGTTGAGATTTTTTCGGACGTACAGTATAAACAGGTGCATTGAAATATCGTGGAAATGCGAGATGAATTCTTGCGTAATGGATGACGCACAAAAGGTTGTCGCGCTACGCTTTTTGCGCTGTAATGTTGCGGGTGAGATAAGCAAGGCGAACCCACGCGGGTGTCTGGTATGGCATAGGTTAGATCTGGGTAAATGGTAGAACCAGTGGTGGAGAAACTGTACCTCCCGGGCTGGGAATCCATGGGATTTTGTTTCAGATTAAAGTCGTTGTTGTTTCTGTAGTGTACTGAAAACATTCTTCATACATGTTGAACTTAGATTCTTCAAACCAACGAGGTCTTAGGTTCAGTCTTCACACTTAAGACGCCATCTTGGCTTCGTTTAAAAATATGACGGCATCCGCTGACGTCATCACTCAAAGCACGCTGAAAGTAAATGATAAGATGAGGTACATTTTTACAATGAAACATGAGAGGAAATCAACGAGTGGACGTCAATGTAAGCTGCCGTTGCTATGGATACAATTCTATTCGGCATGAATAATGCAATAACTTTAAAAAATCTATATTGTTTTATTCATTATTTTCTCTAAGCATTTAAGCTTAGAGTAAACATCACTCTTCTAATCATCGTTAACAGATGTTTAAATTATAACTTAAAAGCACAACAAAGAGGTCATTGGTTGTACATGTTTTGTGGTTTAATTCCTTTGTTAAACTGTTGGTTTAACCTGACTCGGTAGAACCTAGTCTTATGAACAGATTTAAAATCTTCACTACATCAACAATTTTAATGTACTGCGATTGTATTTGCCCAGTAGCATGAACGCAGGTAGAAATGAATAAATATTCTCATATATATATATATATATATATATATATATATATATATATATATATATATATATATATATATATATATATATATATATATATATATATATGGTATATCTCTACTACATACTGTCCGAGCATTAGTTTGTATCCTACATTAAATGTTCACTAACTTACGTAAAGTTCCATTACATTCTAGTCAAATATGATATTCGATTATTATTAAAACAAAAACTCTTGACAGAGATAAGATTACAAAATATATGGTATCGTATTCGACGCAGTCTCGATAATTAAAAATATGAAGCCAAATATGATATCGGAGCCCTGGTCTTGCCAACGTCAGTCCCAGTGTTTAAAAATCTCATTTTCACCAGTAGCTTCCCCTGGCGCGTATAATTGTACGCAGCTGTGACGCGGTTCGCATAAAAATCGGCTTCCGTGTTTATCGCAGAAAGATCGTGGAAGAATTGTCGTGAAATGGGATTACACTGAATCGATGAATAGACCAGGTTGGAACACAACACAAAGGTGGGGGATTAAGTTATTTGATGTGTGCTTTGATAAACACACGGGGAAAATATTTTTATTTTTATTATTTTTGTTATCGCAGAGAGAGAGAGTCAGGTGTGGGGAGAAAGAAACTTTAAAAAAGTAGATCTGTTGCCAAGCTAGTAGGCGCTAATCTTCCATCATGTTACCCTCAAATATTTTGGTCCCTACCATTATCATAACATTAGCTCGTATTAGCTTATCCTAAACGTTATCACAAATCCTATCTCTAAGCCAGTAGCGTAGCGAGGGGGGGGGGGGGGGGGGCGGGGGGGGGGGGCATACGCCGAACTTAGGGGGCGCCAAAATGGGTTGGAAAAATAAATTGAAAGGTTGAGGGGGGTGCAAATTGAAAGTTTGAGGGGGAGGGGGTGAAAATCAAAGTCTTGAGGGGGGGTGCAAATCAAAATCTTGAGGGGGGGGGGGGAGGGTGCAAATCAAAATCTTGAGGAGGGGGGGGGGTGCAAATGGAAAGTTTGAGGGTGGGGGGTGCAAATCGAAAAGTTCGGGAAGGGTCGCTACGCCTCTGCTCTAAGCATAAGCACAGCACTAATTTTAATTGCAAGAATACTAAATCAGGAGCGGTGCTAGTTTGTAAAACATTAAATAAGAGGCAATGACAATTTTTAAAAATATCGAACTCAAAGTCATGGACTACATTATCTTAACCTACTATAAACTTCATTATCTGAACCTACAATAAACTTTAAATCAACGACTTCTATATCTACCTACCACAAACCCTAAATCAAGGACTACATTATCTACCTACCACAAACTCTAAATTATGTACTACATTATCTGAACTTCTATAAACTCTAAATTAACGACTACATTATCTACCTACCACAAACCCTAAATCAACGACTACATTATCTACCTACCACAAACCCTAAATCAACGACTACATTATCTACCTACCACAAACCCTAAATCAAGGATTACATCATCTACCTACCACAAACTCTAAATTACGTACTACATTATCTGAACCTACCACAAACCCTAAATCAACGCCTACATCATCTACATACCATATAAACACTCCAGCGAACAAAACAGACCAGCACTTGATGCTGACTACAACAGCAGCTACAAATGAACTCACATTGAACGTAGCAACGTAACAAGAAACTGAGACACAATTAGTCGACAGGTGTTCTACTGGGGGAGGGGGAGGGGGTGGGAGGACTGACGGGAGGGGGGGCATAATACTTTTTCTACGTTAGGAATAACAGCTCCCGATCTCTGCGCAATTAATGTAGTCCACGGGACCCCATTGTAATGTATTCTTACGCGGAGCAGCATTCTGTTAACGTATTTATGCTAACCTTTGTGTGTAAGTTTCAAGAACTTTTGAACGAATCATGGTGTACCACTGTCAGAACAATAACAGGCGGCGCTGCGCAGATTTAAGAAAAATGGTAGGCTGTGTTTCCGTACAGGAGTTATATCATGTGACATTATGTATTTAACAAAGAATTTTGCTGTCCGCCATCCTCCCCCAACTCCTCTTAATTTGAAGAGCAATTTTTAATACAGCCATCGTGTCGATTTCAATGCTTTAGTTACATTATAGTGAGTATCGTGAAAGCACATTTTTCTGCTCTCATAAAACATGGGATATAGGCCGACTACCTTTATATACACACACACACACACATATATATATATATATATATATATATATATATATATATATATATATATATATATATATATATATATGTATATATGGACGAAATATATGACATCATCATTATGATAAAAACCGACATATGTCATTCATATGTGACAAGTGGTTTTGCGTGTTTTTATGTGAGACTTATTATGTGACATTTTATTGGTTTATAACAAGTGGGTTTGTGGGCTTCCATACATTACATAAAAATATATTTACTGATACACGTGCCATTTGTTTGACACTGATAGTTTAAATTAGCGCTCTATATTGTCTCTTATCCAGTGGGAAATTTCGTGTTGGAAACAACTCCCCAAATGTCGTGCTATATAGGTTAAATAAGCGGAATTTATAGTTAAAGTTGAATTATTATAATTTTTTGCTGGGAGGGGGGGGGGGGGGGGGGGGGGAATGGGGGGGGGTCTTCTATAAAAGACATGAAATGTAAAGAGGAGAGGCGGTGGGAGTGGAGGCGACATTGAGACGGTAAGATACATGGGCGAGGATGAGGGAGTTTTAAGAAATCCGACGTTGCATGTTATAGGTACATGAAATAACCCAGTTAAAAGCAGTATTTAGTTAGCATTTTTAGTGGGTTAATGGGGGTGGGGGGAGGGTTCCTGACGACATTTATTTGTGACGACTACACGAATGGAAATGATATAAACAATGTGAGGTCACATATAGTCGAGCAGTAAAACAGCATCATATAAAAACCCATCTATGTATACATTTCTAGATACGAACATCCGTACATTACACAGGCTCAAGATTATTGATCTGTGACTTTCGTTACGCGGTCATGTTTCTCTTAACTAACGAAATCCCACCCTCCTTCCTCCTACTAAAAAAAAAAACCCTCCCCCCTTCCCAAACCCTCCGGCCAACTTTTGGCGGGAAGATTGATGCCACTGCACCTTGTATCAGCCAACCGCGTGATCAGGCGAGAATCTCGTCGGTTTTCGTGTTTTTGCTTGACACTGGAACCAGAAGTCCAGTCGTCTGTTCAAAAGGTGTCAGGTTTGAGAGTGTTTAGTATTCTGTTTCCGGGCGTGGCAAATCGGTTTCAGTGCGCATGCGCTAGTGTGAACGGAAATTAGAAATACGCGCCAGAGGACATTGTGAATAGTCAGTACAACGTCCTTGAGTCCATCCAGCTCTAATGAGTACCTAACTCACGCAAGGGATAGTAAAGGAGGTTGCTAGTGTTGATCACGCCATCCTTTTATTTTCCAAGGTCACAGAAACAGTTGAACTCTACTTCACATTGCTCCAAGGGCCCTTAGTTTTGAAAAGGGAAATTTACTTTAACAATAACACTGACAAATATAGTGGTAACACCCCTCTAAAAGTGTGTAGGTAAATAATAAGTCATCGTACACACAACAGCCCTACGTAGCATAAAATGGTTCTTGACGGATTCCCTATGCCACATGAGAATGGTGTGGTCGGGTTTGTAGAGCACCCGCCCACTAACCCAAAAGTACTGAGTTCGGATCTCGGTCCAGATATGAGTAAGTTTGACATCCCCTGAGTCCATCCAGCTCTGATGTGTACCCAACTAATGTTAGGGAAAGTAAAGGCGGCTGGCCAAAGTGCTGACCACACCTTCATACGCCGAGAACCGAAGAATGCTGTTCTTGAATTTTTACCGTCTTGAAGAAAGACTGCACCGCCTAAAGGACGAGGGTACCATCCTATACAAGTACAAGTTTCGCGAAATCTTCCTTTTAATACAAAATTGTAATTGTGGTCTGGTAGTAGAAGACACAACTACCCATACATTCTTCGGTCATATGTCTCAAGATTATCCAGTTGTAATTGGTACCCGACTCAATTTGGTGAAAAATAAAGATCCAATATCAATGAAAGTCGAAATAAAAAGAACTAACCTACACGAATCTTTAAACTATTTAGCTTACATCTAAGAAATTTGAACAACACTGTTGGTGTTACAGTTTTATAAATAGAATCAAAACAAATAAACTCACTAACCTGACGCTAATTTCAATGAACTCACTGGGTCATGTGTACTCTAGCCTTAGTCACAATTATCTCCCTCAAAATTAATTAAACACGTCTTAACTAAAATACATCTCAGTATAAATTACACTTGTCTTAACTACAATACATCGCAGTATAAATTACAAACCGTTTTGCTAATGATCCAACGGCTCCCAAGCCGACTTTATGCAACGTCGTTATGTGGCATTCAGTGTGCCTGCATGAGCCACAATTAAAACACCTGGCCACTTCAGTAACAAGAACATGTTGCCACCAGGCTACTAGTTCACACTAGACTTGTCAATTATATCTAGATCTGAAGTGACAATTTAGCTTGAAAATAGTTTAGTTCGAG